GAGCCTTGAGAATGCATTAACTTTGATCAAATTTCCTGATATTTCACATATCACAATATTTGTAAAGTACTTTGCTTCCCTAAACAACAGCACACCCCCCTGAATTCTGAACATACTGTCTGTTTAAACCAATTATTATATTTGTTTGGGGAAAAAGTGAAACTGCTGTCTATTGTGTAAACAAAAATACCATTGTCCAATTTGATCAAACAGTCAGTTTCAAAACAACTGACTACACTCTCCAAAAAACCAAAACGGAACTGTAATTGCATCATCTGCTATTGTGTTTGCAGATACTGAGTCTCCATTCTCTTAAATATGTTACAGTTTACCTGAGACACTGTATGCATCTCATTTCATAGAGATGTAGTAAAGAAAATAGGAAGGGATAGGGTGGATGGTGGTTTGTTGTTATTTTTTTTCTCCAAAATATATCCAGGACATCCAGCACTGCAAGAGGCAGGGTACTTGCTTAGCACTACAATTCATAAGGAAGACAGACACTGATCTCTTGAAATGGGAGCTTTCTTATGTCTGCCATCAAGATTAGTTGTAGGAAGAGGAAAGATCATCTATACTTCCAGTCATTTCAGTGAATCTTGGAGGTAAACACCTGAGTGAAGAGTAACAGAAAACAAAAGGAAAAAATCAAACCTTAGTGATAAGATGAAATTAGACATGAAAATGGATAGTTTGGCCATAATTATTGTATTCTCTGACAGTGAAATGGAGTTTCTCTCAAATGTGATTGAAAGCCAAGATGATATAATCAAATCCACTTGTGTTCCAGAATCACCCCAGAATCATGGGGGTTTTCTAAGTTTGTTAATGCTAAAAGGAAAATATAGAGTTCATATTAAGTACACACTAAGTGAGAATTTTAAGTATCCTATTGCAAAGAAACTTCAAGTATTATACTGCAAAATAAATATCAAATGTCATCTCCCTTGTAGAGAGCAGCCCTGTACTTCTCATATGAAGCATTACTTTGGCAACTGGAGAGCAAGATGCAAGGCTGACTGCAACCAAGAATTAATGTGAAGATCCAGTAATAGCAAACAAAACAGGGAACAAATGTGCTTGTTTCTCTTGTGGCCTTCTATCCCCTGACATGTTGGTGTCACAGGCAGCTTCAGCCAGTATCACATATCTCTGGACACAGTCAGCTTGTGCTCTTTAGTGCCTGACACCAGTATAGAATATGGTATCCCAGACTTATTTCTTTCAAAGTTGTGTGAATTCAACGAAAAACTTCTTTTAAATTTAAGTGAATCCCATTTAAAATGAAAAGCAGTGTATTTTTAGTTCCTAAACGCTTTGCTTCAGGAGAGATATGGACCAAAGTCTTTAAGGAGGTCTTCCTTTTTCTCTGTGCTTCCTATATGAGATAATAATAGAAAAGGTAACTAAGTGCTTTCAGGTATGATGCCTTGGAGAAGGAGGAGGCAAGGAAAAGGAAGAGAACAAAACCAAAGGAGATCCATCCTAGCACTACAATTCTGAAATTGCACCTCAAAAATCATGGGTCAGAAATATTTCTTGCACCAGTGCAAAGGTCATGTATTTTGAAACAGATACTTTTTACTGAATGCTATTCTATCTTCCTAAACAAATAACTAACTTAGTCTAAACTTTTTTGGTCAGTGACATGATGACACTGGAATAAAAATTGATTGCTGGCTGCACTGGCTCTGAGTTCTTTGGGAACTGTTCTTCTGGCATAAACTAGATTTGTTTTCTTTTTTTTTTTCCCTTTTCCTCCCAGTACCACTAAATAGTAGAGGATCCTTGTGAAGTGTTAAGCCTTCCACAGCTTCACAGTAGGCAGCTAGAGTAGGAAACACATACTGAGTTCATTCTTTCTTACCACAAAGCAGAAATAGTCTCAGCCCAATGCAATTCTATCTTGCTGCTTTAGAGATCTGATCAGAGGCTGATGCAAGTAAGGGCTTTGGATTAGACTTATTGCTGTCAGAAAGACAATGTTCAGCAGTCTGTAGGAATACTGTGCACACTTACAGACATGTGTCCAACAATACCTGGCCGTGTGGGAGGGACAAATGAAGCATGTAACTGGATTTTGTTTTGGATGATAGCAGTGTTTCTGGCATGATCAGCATCTTCACAGGAAGCTGCAGGAGTTCTCCACAGATGTGGGATTTCAGTGAATACTCCTGTTGAGCAACACAGATTCTGGTGTGTGGGTTATCTAATTAACATGGCTTCCACATGGGTGAGCTGCCTTGAACTGGTGTAAGCTGCAGCCTTCACATCAACAACGAAGAAATCAATTAAATAACAGACCTCAGAAGTGAGTAATATATCTTGATCTCTAACCTCTGGCCATGTCATGAAGCTTAAACAAAACCTTCAAGTTTTGTTTTTGCTACAGCTCTCAGCATCCTTTCCCTGAAAAGCCACTGAAGTAGAATTAAGGACCATCTGGCAGGACAGTTAGTGGAAATTTTCTGGAGTATCAAGATTTTGCTGGCTACCATTAAATCACTGATAGCAGCCATTTCACTCTCCTTTTTGAATGTGGACACATTCAATAAAATGGAATAAAACAGCATGACTGCTGCTTTCAGTCAGAAAACTGAGGAATTTTAAAGATTTTTTTAATAATATTCTGTCTTTTTGCAGCAAAATACTGAACAATCTGAAATTATTTTGTTTTACTACTATATCAAGTGTCTTTTTTAGGTTTGGGAAGAGTCCATGAAAGTCTCCTGTTTTATGATTGAGGTCATCAAATGTCAGCATGACTTATTTGTCTGAAACTATGGTCACAGCTGGAAGGGAAAGGGTTGTTGTAAAGATAAGGGAGATGAAGTGGCTCATTAAAATAATGCCAGTGATGGTACTGTGACCATCTTCTGAACTGTCTTCAACCTATGACAGGAAATCCTGTTGACCAAGTATTGTTCTATCTTTTCTCTTACCCGTAGGCAGGTTTTTTGTTGTGTACAATGAAAGACTTGAGAATACAAACATGGACTCTGAAAACACCTATACCAAGGAAGCCTAACTCTTTATTAATGAAGTTTTGGGAGGCAGAGGTGGACATGAATAGTGGGGGAATGTTTATAATCATAAGGTGCAAGAACTTTCCCTGCAACTCAGAGCTCAGCCCTGAGAAGCACCTAAAAATAACTTTTAACTTCACAAATCCACAGTCCTGCAGCAGACATTTATTTCTGCCAATAGACTGAAATTCCATGAGCAGTTGAACATGAGCAAACTTATTATTGAGAGCACAAGGCTGTCTTCCAGCAGCTTCCTGAAAACCACTTACAACAGTCTTCTGGACTAGAAAACTGATCCTGGTGGGATATCCAAATACTTCTTTAAACTTAGCATTAACAGCATATCCATTTGGGGAAGGGAAAATTTAAACTAGGTTGCTATAAATACTGTCAATCCCAGTGTCATAAGAGGAAGTTCAATTATCTTAGACTGGTCCCAAATTCATATTCTGAAAATGAAATTATGAAACACCATGTTGTGGTATTTTTGGGGTGGGTTTTTTGTTTGTTTGGAGGGTTTTTTGTTGGTTTTTGGTTGGTTGTGGGGTGGTTTTTTTTTTTTTGGTTTTGGGGGTTTTTTTTGTTTTGGTTTTTGGGTTTTTTGTTTTGGTTTTTGGGTTTTTTGTTTTGGTTTTTGGGAGTTTTTTTGGGGTTTTTTTTGTTTGTTTGTTTGTTTTTTAATTAGCCATTCTGTCAGTTGTTCTGAGGGAAAGCTCAGCAGCATAAGAAAGCAGTAGTCTTCTGTTAAAATGCAGCAGCTGTTTGTAAGGGCTTGTTGAAATCACCATGAAACTTGAACTGTATTGGAGGCAAGACTGTGAAACAAAATAGCCTGTAATGAGCAGCTGTGCCTGAGGAGTTCAGCTTCAGTGTTTTTAAACTGCCAGCTCCTTGCAGAGAGCTTTTTCCAAGCTCAAGAACAGATTCTCTTGCTAGAAGGGTCAGAGGAATTTTTAAAACTTTCTGGGTCAGAGAGCTCATTTATCTATTGATTTCTTGCTAACCCACCAGACGTTCAAGCACTGATAGCATCCCTCTCACTGGGAAGGGACTGAAGGAACCAACCCAGTAACTATGACGGAGACAACACTTGATCTATTTTTAAAAATCTAGGATTGCTTACAATGCAAGTTAAACTACCCTGTATTCCATTCTCCTCTGCTACAGAGGACAGAGTCAAGAAATTCCCCAAATGTTGTTTTTCCCTAATCAGTTGAAAGCAGGAAACTACAAACATCCCAAAAGGATTGCCAGATTCTAAGCTGCTTTTTTTTTTTTCTGGTTGCTGTCACAATAGATTCACACAGAATCACAACACACATTACTTTTCTGGAGTTTTCAGATATGTGATTAATACAAATAGGGAATTTTTTACTCATAAACCATAATGTTGGCTTTGTAGTACTGGCAAGTAATTCACTTTTATAAAAGAGTGTTCAAAAGCTAAACTGGAGGAAGGAAGAAAGGAGGTCAGAACTCCTTAATAAGACATTTGCAGAGACACTGCACCCAGATCTCAGGAAGACCCAGCCAAGAGCAGCTGTTTCACTCTGAATATTAGCTAGCTCATCTGACATGGATTCTCTCTTCTGCAACTCCTGGCACATATAAAGCAAGTGAAGCTGCATAACTTATTTTGACAAAACAAGCAGAGACTATAAAGCCATCTATAGCCCAAGCCACAAATTTTTGCTCAGAAAAAAATATCACGTGAGCATAAAACGGCTGCACAAATTTTGCCATATTTGTAAAAGTGGGTTTACCTGTGTTTGGGTAGGCAAATTGACAGGGCCTAACCCCAATTTGGTGTGTTCAAGAGGATAGCATTTAAAAGGAATATGAACAAACTGCTATAGGTCTGCACAGCCCCCATGATTCTAGCACTAATCCTTCCTCTACCCATTTCCAGCTTGTAACTGAAAACTGCAGCTCACGATTAAAGTGGAAACGCAGAAACACTTTGAGGGTGCTTACCTCTCTCCCTGCAACTCTCATAAGCTCCCCAGCCTTTTTGTCCCTGCAGCCAGAATAAGGGCACCCAACGAGACCTGCAGAACTCCTCAGGGAAGAGGCTGATCTGCTGTCTGTACCCGTGCTGGCAGTCTCCCACCTGTCATTTGTCACAAGACATGACAGGACAAGGGCTGGCTCACCAACATGGGAGAAGCATCTGCAACTGGGTGGATTTACGGGAAGATGACACTTAGGTCTATCAGAATACAGCTTGTTTCATCACAGAACCCAAAACTAAAAAAAATCACAACCAAATAATAACAGATAGCACATTTGTAAAGGAAAAGAGGAATATTCAGGTCAAATCTGAGTGCATCCCTACAAACTCAGAGCAGTCAGTGTAGTACACTTCTAAACCCTGACTTTTCTACTTTCTTGGTCATTTTGGTACTACATGATGTCGAAAAGGAAGGGGAGGAGAGAGGAAACTAAAAGATGTTCCCAAGTTCACCCTTAGGAACTGTCAAGATCTTTTGCGTATAACTTCAGAGGTGTTTTCTCCATTTACAAGATGTCTCATCGAAACAATTCACAGCATTTCACACTCATTTCTCACAATATTGGACTTTTCTGCCAATGTGGGCGTCTCAAACTCACATGGTATCAAACTGAGTTAATATGATAGCGCAGCATTAGGGCCAAGGGAAAGTGTTGCCTCTTTCACATACCCCCCATAAAGCCTCCACCCCCATCACTGCAGCTGCTCTGCTTCATCCCTTTCTGTTGTTTGGTTTGCTAGAATAAGTAGTGCCAGAAGGAGGTATGAAAGGGGAGGTTTCGGAGGAGGACTGTGTGGCTGCCACATTAATTCTTGGAACTGGAGAACAGACTCAACAGGAATGGGGAGAGGCAATCACAGATCTCTGCTGGTGGCATGTTATACTGGGATCAAGGCAGTCAATCAAGACAAGGTTAAGAGTTTTCCATTTCTAATACTTTCTGCAGTTACAGTTGTAATTTTCTTTTGATAATGTAATTTCATAACATGTGATTGTTCTGCTTACTTCTAACTGAACATTTGAAAGAAATCAACTTTAATAGCCTGCCTGATACATTGGTATTTGCAGTGTTTTCCTGGTCCATAATCTAAAGTCCAGTTGGTGGAAAGATCATTATAAAAGAGAACCCCTTAAATATCATATTAATAGTTCCATGAGCCTGGAGCTATTTAAATTTATAAATTAACTGAGATAAAGTATTTTTTTTAATGGTGTAGGATGCCAAGGCTCTGTTAGGAGGGAACACTGCAATCTTCCACGCTGCTTTTCAAGGTTTAGTTGCCTGTGTCTATCGTTGGCTCTGCCACAGTGCAGTCTTGGGTGAAATTCCTGTGTTAATAATTTTGTTATGAGAAAGACCTGAGTGATGACCCCTCGGCTCAGGAGATACATTAAAGGTCAGGGTGTTGCTCCTTGGTCATTGCTTGCGCCATCATGCAGATACACATTTCCGTCTGCCTGTCTTTGTCAGCAGCTGCTCCCTGACAAAGGCTGTCTTAAAAACAAAACAACTTTTGAACCAGAGGTAATATCCAGTATTAGCATCACAAAATTTTCTGGAGGATGCACTAGGCTACCCCTTCTGCAGTTGATTTTCTGCTTTTTTTCAGGGATGCCCACCCCAGAACATCCTGCTTTCCTCTCCTCCCTGCCTGTTTTCTTTTGCAAGGCTAAGCCGGTGTGCCAGGGGCAGAAAGCAGAAAAGCCTGATGAATTCTCTCAGAATTTGTTCATGTTTGACTGGGGGTGGCAGGTGGGGAAATCCATGAAGAGCATATATATATCTTCTCAGTCACCCTGTAAAACCGCATGCCAATCATCCTGTGCCGTCTGTGTGGGATCCCAGGGGTGCTAAAAAACAGAAATCAGGACATATTGGAGGATGTATAATTCACAAATTATATCTGCTTCAGGGAAGAGGTACTCCTTCTTATATATTTGTTCAGCTCTGCTGCACTGCAGCCCCTAGGCATCAAATTATTGTAATTTCAGTTCTGTTTTCAGAACATGTCAGAAATCTCTGAAAACACTCACTGAGAAATGCTTGCAATCATTTCAGTGAATTAAGTGCCCATTTGGGGCCTTTCACTTCTTCAGCTTCTGAGGTTTGTCTAGGAAGGAGGGTTAGGTTAATCTGGAGCACTTCCTAAGTGCTGTTGATTTGGATTAGGCATTTGCTGCTTTGCTGTTCACTTTCATATAGCACAAGAAAAAAATCAAATGTTATCTGGAACATGGGTTCTTTGCCCTTTCATTGTGATATGAAGAAATAGGCTTTTTTGCTGAATAGGAGGAACAGAAAACTATCATTCCTTTTCTTTCACCCAATGGCTGTATTAAGATAGTTACAGGTATTTATTTTAACAAACTCAAAAAAATCTTTAGAAATATGTAATATTACATTACCAGTTGGTGGGAGGTTCTTAAGCAAGTTGCCATGTATCATTTTAGCATGTGAACTATGCAGCAAAAGATTTTTGCATAGAAAACATTTAGTATTTTGCTTATTAAAGATGTGCACTGTATTTTACAAAACACAAATTTCTGCAATTTTCTGGCATATAAACCAGAAATGCAGCTACTCTGAGCTATCTCATCTTTCAAATTCAACCTTCTATTATACTCTAATTTCCATGAGAAATAGAAACTTCACCATGCAATTTTCAATTGCTAAATTTTCAAACAATGCAGCTCTTCATGTATAAACATTGTGTTGTCCACACCCCACTGATGCTTGCATTCCAGAAGAAAACAGTTGTTAGGATTATACTTGTTTAGTAGTACACGTTACAACCCAGTTCCATCATATATTTCAAATTTTTCACATGTTTTGGGCAAGACTCTCTTTTCAAAATCTGATATATATAGACAGGAATCCAGCTGCCAGCAGCAGTGGATTCTGCTGCTGTCACTACTGTACCTTAACCAGTGTTATTAAAAGCTGCCCTTAGTTTGATTGTTTCTATATTGCTCCCCACACCATCATATCCATTTTCCTTTAACAAAATCATCTCATCTACTCCCATACCATACTCTGACCTGCCTTTTCAGCGAATTGCTCTAAAAGTACCCACCACACTGCTGCAAAAATGAACCAAAACTGCCTTTCCTCACCACTGCCATCAACTCTTCCACATGCTGTATTGACCACAATTGGCTACTAGTTATTATTTTTTCTTTGATAATCAAGAGTTACTCTGCAGGTGTTTTTTAAAGCACCACAGCGATTATACAGCAAGTGACTTTGGCTTCACTTCTGGCTCAAATGTTTATAGCTAAAAAATTAGTTTCTTGAATGTGTTTCCAAGTAGTGATGAGGATTTTTCGAGACTGCACATTTCACCCTCATAGAAATTCAGAAATTCAAGATCAGATCCTTCAAAAAAAAATCCCCCAAAAGGTCAAGACAGCAACGACAAAATAAGCATAATTTTTAATATTGCTGAGCACATTTATTACATAGTCTTTTCAAACTCATTCTGAGAATCTTTGTTACAATCTGAGGTTAATTGAGTGGCTGCAGAATTAAATCAAATACTATCTGTCTGCTGCATTAAAGCATTGCCTTTCCTCACTTTAGTTGGTCCTAAAACTTTCATATAAAGGCATAAATAACACCTAGAATTAAAAGTACTGATAAAGTTCATTCAACATGCAAATAAAGCATAGTTGAATATGGCACGAAAAGTCTGAAGGAAACAAGCATTTAAGAATGACTCTTCCCCCACTCAACTTTTGCTTTTGAAAAAAGGAAACAAATAAAAACCAGGTATTTTTTAAGTTGTAGTTTTGATGTTGTCATTGTTTGTGTATTTTTGTTTCATCTTGGTGTAGTTTTTTCTTCAATTACCACATGTAGAATGTGGTTGCAGACAGAAAACTACTGGGGCATTTTGCCATAACTTTCTACAGATTCCATGGATAATGCATGAAATAACTCTCAGAACCACTGAGAATCTATATTTCTGGTCAGACATAGAACACACTTGGAAATACATGCCAAAAGGAGTCAGACACCTGTAAGCTTGTAGGGAAAGGATTTCTATGTGCAAATAAGGTAGACATATATATTTTCCCTTGAAGATATACCCTTTAACTTTGAAATTTGCCACAATCAATCTTTTCCCTCAGGAGAAAAAAAAGTTTTAAAAAAGACCGAAAACAAAGCAAAACAAAAGAAAAAACGAAAACCCAACTCAGACCCACTTTTTTTCCATCCCTATATATAGTTTCTGCTTGTTTTTTGGCATATGCACTACTCTTCTCCTTTGCTATTATTATTTACTATTGTTATTTCTATGAGAAACTACTATTGCCTTTTAAGAGCAAAATCCCCTAGGAGACAGGTAAGAGCTAGCCCCATGCTAAGTTAAATCAATTTAATAGGAAACAAGCCCAAGTCTTTGGTTCTTTTCATACACCTCTATATAAACAGCTTCCTGGTCTGCACTGTCCAGTACAGATTCACCCCTTCCAGAGATTAGTGCTGATCTTTATATTTTCCAGTTCAGCTTCTAGTCCGTGCTGAAAAATTGTTTAGAATTGCTTATAGACCTCCCAGATGTTAAGATGATAAAAACTGAGGTGACCTGATATCCAAACATTTGTCTTTTCCCATACTAGACTGCACAAATCCAGAGTTAGATTTAGAAGCTGTTACAAATTAGAGTGTTTGAGATCACTTAAAAAATCGTTGGTAAGGGCATGAGCAAACATCAGATTTTATATTTAAGTGACAAAGCACAACACGATTGTTGGGAAGATTCACTCTGTTACTTACAGGACAGCTAAGGCACAAGGGAAAGTGAGCAACAAAAAACCAAACAATATCCAGGCAATCAAACAGAAATTTGCTGAGAACTATCTAGGGGGGTGGGTGTGTGTTTTTAGGGGTCTGGGTGTGGTGTGGGCGTGTGTGTGTCAAAAGACAGTGCAGGCAAGGATAAAAAGGAACATGTCCTAAAAGATTAACAACACTCAAATTTAGCAGTACTTTAACTTAATTTATACCTTAAGCCTACCAATTTAACATAGGAAAAACACTTAACAGACACCCAACTTAA